CCTTGGAGGCTAGGATTTTGAAGCTCTGTCTCACATACTTTGGGCACGTGGTCAGGAGGGACTGATACTTGGAGAAGGATATCATGCTCGGAAGGATGGAGGGACAGTGCAGGAGAGGAAGACCCCAGATGAGATGGATTGATATAGTGACGAGGGCACCGGAGATTGGTGTGTCAGTGTCAGTGAGACTGGCTCAGGACAGGGCAGGCTTCAGAGATATTGTACGTCAGGTTGCTGTGGGTTGCAGGTGACTTGATGGAACATAACGACAACAGTGAATAGAGGCAGAAATAGCTCAGTAGGACAGGAATTAGGTTGAGAGATGTGAGGCATCTAAGGTACAAGATTTCAGAGGGGAGCACTGGACTCAATCTTGAGGACCATGCAAGTTTATTTAGCTTAGGCTCATCTGTAACTCAAAAGTTGATGACATTTTTAAGGGAGTTTCTTAGCAGCAATGACTGTTTATGAAATTATGAAGGATTTGTAAACAGAAAGCTGATGCCTGTGAGGTCAGACTTACCACTATGCTCCCAAATCTACTCCTATCAATTGTAACACCAGTTGCCTGACTTAAGGCTCTCACTACTCTGTTATGCTTGCTGATATGTTGCAAGGGCCACATAGAACTCACTGATGATACTCACGGTTATGGGAGGAAAGAACATGTTATAATTCAAGTTAGAAGCTCTCAGCATAGAATTCTTCAGTTAGGATTCTTGTTTTTTAATAAAATTTTTATTTTATACTGGTTTTCTTACAAAGTTATTTTTTTTCCACACCAGATCTTTCCCATTTCCTTTATCAGCCTCGACCTCTACCCATCAAATTGTGTGACCCTATGATTACCCCTCTGCCTGTCCTCACCCCTCTGTTCCTACCCAGCCCCCCTTTGATCCTCATACAGGTTTTACTACTTATTTTTCTATTTCTACAATAATGGTCTTATACAATATTTGTCCTTACGGGACTGCGTTAGTTCACTTAGCATAATGCTCTCCAGTCTCTCCTAAGTTCTGTAGTGATTTTGAAAATCATTGCTCCTGCATGCTGCATGGTATTCCATCATGTGAAGTACCATAATTTCTCAATCCGTTTGATTGTGGTTGGACATTTTGGGATGTTCTTGCAATGATAAATAATGCTGCTATGAACATTGGTATACAAATCTCCATTTGTGTCTTAGTTCTAGTTTTCTCAGAGTATATTCAAAGTAGTAGAATAGCTCGGTCATATGGAATTTCTGTTCAGTTTTTTGAGGAACCCCCCAAACAGCCTTCCAGAGTTGTTGTACCATTTTACAATCCCACAAACAATGTATAGGGAGCTCTGGTGGCCTAGTGCCAAGAAGCTACACTGCAATCCCAAAGGCACACTGTTCAAAGCCACCAGCACTCCATGGGAGAAGGATAGGCAATCTCTGAAACTGCCTCTGAAAACCTGCTGGAGGTCTCAGCTATGCATCGGTTCACTCTGTGGTACATAATAACAACCAATAGTGTATAAGAGTTCCTATCTCTATACATCCTCTCCAACATTTATTACTTGTAGTGCTGCTAAACTTTGCCACTGCTACTGGGGTGAGATGGTGTTTCATTGTGGTTTTGATTTACATCTCTCCTGTTGCCAGTGATTTGGAGCATTTCTTAATGTGTCTGTTGACCATCCAGATATCTTTCACTGTGAAAATTCTTTCCATGTCTTTTGCCCATTTTGTAATTGTGTTATCGGTCTTTTTCTTGTGGAGGCACTATAGGATTCTGTAAACTTTAGATATGAGACCCTTGTCTGAAGTGGTATTGCCAAATGTTTTTTCCCCAGTCAGTAGGTTTTCTTTTCACTCTATTGGAAATTGGTTTTGATGTACACAGGGATTTTATCTTTAGAACATCTTATTAATCAATTTTATCCTCTCCTTGTTGTATATTTCTGGCTGTATTTGTCCTTCTAAGCTTGGTCCTACTTTGTTTCTTAAATCTTTATAGTTTGGGGCTTTACCCCTAGGTCTCTGGTCCACCTTGAGTTTATGTTTGTGTATGGTGAAAGGTGTGCATCCTGCTTCAGCCTTCTGCAGGTAGTAGGACAGCTGCTTCTTAAATGTGTTCACAGGCAGGCTTCCCTCTGACCCTCAACGGCTTGACTGGACCAGTATTACAAAACACTTTTAGTTTTGCCCATTATGCACTCTCCCCACCACACCCCTCAAGGCCTTCAGCAAGCCTAAGCTTAAGGCACTGGGTGCTAGCTCTGAGTAGACAATTCTAGTTCAGCTGTGTTTCACATCACTCAGTGATTTCCCACCACCTCTGCTGCTGCTACATCCATCGTAATCTCACTGATGTGCACAGGAATCTCTGGCCCAAAGGACATTTTGCATTTTCTGCTCCTTTCTTGATGGTAGCAAGACTCCTGATTTCTGTCTTGAAATGTGCTCATTGTAAAGTCTGATGGGATGACAAAACAAAGTCAATGTCTAGGAAAGCCATACTGGATAAATCCACTGCATGACAGAGTTCCCACCATGGATGCCTGCCAGCCTGTTCCTCCTCTTACATGAGCTATCCTGGTCTCTCAGTTCCAGAAATATGCCCAGTATAAGATAGGTCATCTTCTCATCAAAAGGCCACCACTCCCAGAATGCGGAGACTAACATGACAGAAGATGAAAGGAAACTTGAGGAAAATTAGAGTCGTGTGTCACTGAATGAGAACTGATAAGAGTTATCGGATATAACTAACACCTTTGCAGTGGGCAGGGCAGGCTTCAGAGCTATTGTACATAGAGTTGCTATGAATCACAGGTGACTTGACGGCATAATAACAACAAGCCCCAGGTTAAGTACTTGTTTTTGTTGTTGTTGTGTATCATTGAGTCAGAACCTACCCATAGCTGACAAACTGGTGGGTTTTCAAAGGCCGTTAACCACACAGGACATTGCCCATCTTTCTTCTGTGGAGCAGCTGGTGGACTTGAACTCTGTGTTTTCAGAATTGCAGCACAGCTTCTTGCCACTAGGTACCTAGGGTTCCCTAAATTCTTTAAAGCTATTATTTTATATAATCCGCCCTCCCCCTTGTCAAAAACAACCAAACAAACAAAAACCACCTCAGTAAGGAGAAACTTGGGCTTTGGAGCCAGACAGTGTTTTGGTTCACATTCCACCCTTGCATCTGTAAGAGCTATGACCTTAGAAAATTAACCTCTCTAGACCTCAGCTGCTTTCTCTAGAAAATGAGAACAATAATTGTACTTTGATCATAGTATTCTGAGGAGTACGTCAGGTAATACGTGTAAAGCAATGAAGCAGGCATCTGGCACGAGGGAGTAAATACTGTTGTTTGAGTCAGTCCCTGACTCGCAGTGATATCATGCACAGTGGCCTGAAAGGCTGACCAGTGCTGTGCTGTCTCCAGGATCAGTTGACCATCTAAACATTGAGATGTGTGGCATTTCTGCTGACTGAATTTGGGGAAATAAATCATCAGGCCTTTTCCCTAGTCTGAAGCTCCACTGAAATCTGTTCAGCATCATTGCCACAAATTTCCTATGACAGACAGGAATGGCTTGTACTTGAGGTATATTATCTACAAATTGAATCCTATTTAAAACAAACCAACAAACACCAAACAAACCAACAGACAACAACACCATTGTGGCTGGAGTTGGAGAAACAGCATCCGACCTCCACTAATTCCACAAAGGGGAAGTGTTCCCATCCATCAGATCAACAGTATGAAAGCAATTCCTATGTAATCAAACATGCCTTCATGTTTCCACAGCTGTATCCATCAATTCTAACATCAACTGCCCCTCCCAGGGCTCTTGCTGTGCCATGTCTAGGCATCCTAATCTGTTGCAGTAGCCACACAGAATTTACAGACAATAGGCACAATTATGGTGTTTAATTGGAGAGTAAGAGGTTACAACTCATATTGGAAACAACCAGGATACAGTTCTTACATCAGGACAGCTTCTCTGGCATGTTTGCAGGCCTCTAACCTCCAAGCTTTGAATTTTTGAGCCACTTTTGCAGCTCTTTTACCCCTGTCAATTACGGTGTCTCCCACCACCTCTCTAGTAAACTTGAGTAAAGATCCTCGGCCTTGGCTCAGTAAGAATGGCAGTTCCGATTTAGCTCTGTCTCGCCTTACTCTGTGGCCCTCTGCCACTTCCTTTGCTGCTGCTGCTACTACACTGTCTTGATCTTAGTCCATCTTTCACAGGAATCTCCGGTCCAAAAGGGTGAGGTGTACTCTACTTCTTCTCTTAATAGTGTCAGAATTCCTGTTTCTACCTCAATCTGCTTAATTTAAGCTTAAGGGATGGTAAAATTGGCCAGTTCCCTTGTTAGTATCCACACACCCTATTTGCAAGTTCTTCCACAAAAAGTGCTATTGACTTCGTTTACATTATTAGCACAGTCTTATGTAGCCATGTGTGAAAGTCAAAGCAGTGACTAGAAAAGTTATTTTGAGCAATCAGTCTGCATCACAGTCTTGCACAAGTAAGGTAGAACTCTACTATTGAACCAGCAGAAACCCTTTAATAAATATTCACCTCATCTCAACTCATTGTCATTAAGTCAGAGAAAATTCAAAGCTGACCCTCCAGTGAGTGTACTGAGGTGTAAATCGTATGGGAGGAGATTGTCCCGCCTTTCTCCCACAGAGTCGCTGGTGGATTTGAAACGCCAGAGAAATGGTGCCTCAGAGTTAGGAGCACATCTCCCTACGGATTACACCACCAGAGCTCCCACAACGAATATTAGCCATGGTTATAAGGACTACTGCCCCTTACAGCTTAGCAATGCCAAGTGTCTTGTTCAAGGTCGTAACACTCATTGATGAAGAAACGAGGATGCTGGGATCCAGGATCACTCGTAGTGTGAAACACCACACCACTCTGCTAAACCTTTCTCAGGGAGAGACCACAGAGACACCCTCAGAGCCTGATACCACCGAGTTGAGGACATTTTCTCTTCTTTCTTTCATCTTCCATAGCCTGCCTGCTCCAGGCTGAGCTGGTGAACTATGAGCGAGTTAAGGAGTATTGCCTAAAAGTTCTAAAGAAGGAAGGGGAAAACTTCAAGGCCCTTTATCGGTCTGGCGTGGCCTTCTACCACCTTGGAGACTATGATAAAGCACTCTACTACCTGAAAGAAGCAAGGACCCGGCAGCCAACAGGTAAGGAAACCAGTCCCATTTTCACTCTCCACCCCTTTTGGCAGCTCCTGGTACTTCTCCTTAGGGTGATTGGTTTTCATGGGTAGGAGGGCCAGGCAGGAGCAGAAATGGCAAAATGAGTGTCTGGACATGTGTTAGGATCCAGGATGAGGAAAGTACACAATCCGTGCGTTTGTGTGGGGTCTGAGTTTCAGAAAGCATGGTGCCTCTTTGTTTCAAATGTAGCACAGCATTCTCCATCTTTTTCTAATCAGAGTCCTGCTGCTTTCATTTGTTCAATAAACATATATTTGTTTATTATATGCCAAGCCTTTTCTCGGTGCCAGAGATAGAGATGGAAGCACGTGGTCTCTAACCTTCAGGAATTCACACAATTTTTGGCAAGAAAGAATAGATTATTTTATTGCTAAGCCAACATCTTCCAGGCAGCATAGTCTCTCTGACTACTCTAGTCAGATTTCATTCCTCAAAGCATGTTTTAGCTATACTGTTTACTTAGATTAAACCTACTAACCTTACCCTTTAATTCATTCCCTTTTTACTGAGCAACTACAGTGAGCTTGGTTTATGACAGTGAACAAAGGTATCTACTTTACAGGAGCTTATGTCATCATGGGAGTTAGCAAATGGACAAGTAAATGATGCGATATTCAGTGCTGTGAAGGAGCCCAGGTAGAGCAACGATTAAAACCTCAGCTGCTAACCAAAAAAATCACGAGTTTGAATCCACCAGCATCTTCCTGATCTGTTCCCATGCATATTACATCTTGGAAACTCTTCTATGTCACTGTGAGTCAGCCTTCAATAGTACACACGTGCCACGAAGAAGAGAAAACAAAGTGAAAGGATTGAGAGTCAAAAAGTGCTGTTTTAGACTAGGTGGTCCGGAAGAGCTTATATATAAACAATGGCAGTTTTACTTGACGCTACTGTTGTTCATATAGGGAGCTCTGGTGGCCTAGTGTTAAGAAACTGCACTGCAAACCCAAAGGCAAATAGTTTCAATCCACCAGTTGTTCCACAGGAGAAGAATGGACTGTCTCCTCCTGTGCGATTTACTGCCTCTAAATATCTGCTGGAGGGTTGGTCAGCTATGAGTCTGTACTCACGCGACAGCACACAACAACAGCTGTCGTTCATATGGTTATTTTTCTTTTACATATAGCCATCCTTCCAAGAAGTCTTTAAGAACTAGAGAATCAATTTGCAGAAAAGAAAGAAAATTGTTTATGTCATAAGGACTAAAAATTGAACTCATCCAACAGCTTCTTCTTGAGCACCCAACTATATGTCACCACTGTTCTGGGTACTGGGCAAAATATTTCAAAGGGCAGGCAGCTTTAGAAGACAAAGCAATGTATTGTAATGAAATGTGCAAACACCTGCAGTTGGAAAGCCATAAAAGGAAGAACACTCTTAGCATTTCTGAAGCTGAAAGAACTGAAGAAAAATTAAAGCCTCAGGTTGTAATACTGAAGGATTCTATGGTACAAATATTGAACGATATAGGGAGTATCAAAAGAAGATTAAAGAAAGACAAAGAGTAACTATACAAAAAAAAGTACACCACTGAATCATTTCATGAAGTAACATACAATCAAAACCCAATAGAACTGAAGGAAGAAGTTTAAACTGCACTGAAGGCATTGGCAAAAAATAATGTTCCAGGAACTAATGGATTATCAGTTGAGGTGTTTTAGTGAACAGATTTAGCCTTGAATGTGCTTACCTTTCTGTACCAAGAAATCTAGTAGATGGCTACCAATCATCTGGAAAAGAACTATCTTTGTGTCCGTTTTAAGAAAAAGAATCCAACATAATGCAGAAATTAACCAACAATGTTATTAATACAAGAGACAAGTAAAATCTTACTTGATTATTTTTTTTTAGTTTAAGAGGTCTATGTCTTTACTTTCATATATTATTAGAATAAATTACAGAAGAATTAGTTAAATGCTCACTTAAAATTACATGATATAAAACCAGAAACTAGAAGGAAAATAATCCTTTGAGATAGGGTAGATATTCTAAATTATAAAGGAGGACTAATATATTTAGCTATCTAATCTATACATAAAAACATGGCTAAACAAAATTAAAATATAAATAGCAGCCTGTAAATACTATTTAGAAAGAATGGCAAAAGATTTTTATCTTTAGCCTCACAAAGGATTCTTATATAGAAAATTAAAAGCAAAACACTCCAACTCTGGTAAAAGTTCTTAATATACTTTTCTCACAGATACAACCTAATAACAGTTAAGACCTAAAGAGAAAGGTAGGCTTCTTTTTAAAAAAATTACTTGATTATTTTTAAAATGGCTAGAACAATACCTTAACAGACAACTGTCAGACATTCAATCTTGATTCAGAAGAGGCCATGGTAAGAGATACTTCATTGTGATGTCAGATGGATTTGACAGAAAGCAGAATCTACCAGAAGACATTTACTTGTGTTTAAGTGACTTTGCAAAGGCTTCCAAGTGTGTGAATCATATCATGCAGTATGGATAACATTGAGAAAAATGGGAATCCCAGAGCACTTAATTGTGCTCACAAGTAACCTATACATAGACCACAAACAGAAAAAGTGGATATTGTATGGTTTACAATCTGGAAAGGTGTGCATCAGCATAGTATCATTTCACCATACCTCTTCAGTGTGTATGCTGAATAAATCATCTGAGAAGATTATCTATATGGCATCAGAACTGGAAGAAGACTTCTCAATAACCTACAATACAGAGCTGGCACAACATTGCTTGCTGAGAGCAAAGAGGTCTTTGAGGCATGTTCTGAAGAGCAAAAACTACTAATAGCCTCTAGCATGGTGTACACCTTAAAATAAATAACAATCTCTACACCTGGACCAGTAGGCAACATCATGATAAAATTAGAAAAGATTGCAGTTGTTAAGGATTTCATTTTACTTAGATCCACAATCAAAACCTATGGAAGGAAGCAACTGTCAAGAAATCAAAAAACATTGCGTTGGGCGAATCTGCTATCTAGGACCCTGTTAATATCCTGGAGGACAAGAACATCAACTTAGAGGCTGAGGTGTGCCTGACCCAAGCTATGGTACTTTCAACTTCTTCATATACAAGTGAAAATTGTACAATGCCTCAGTAAGACTAAAGAAAAAATGGATGCATCTTAATTGTGGTCCTGGCAAAGAATTGTCAATATACCACAGACTACCAGAAGAATGTAGACCAAACTAAAGAAGAAGGATTGATATCTTTGAATTATGGTGTTGAACAAGGGTATTGAATATACTGTGGACTGCCAAAAGTCCTATCTTGGAGCAAGTACAACCAGAGTGTTCCTTAGAGGCAATGATTGTGAAACTTCAACTCATATACTTGGTCATGTTTGTCAAGAGTGACAGTCATGGGGGAAAAATAAGCTTTGTGCTGGGAAAGATGAGTGTCAATGAAGGAGAAGAAGACCTCTCAACAAGGTGAATTGGTACCCTGACTACTAAAACAAGCTTGATTGTGACAGAGTTAGGATGCAGGGTAGGTCAAGGTTCTAATCTGTGTTCATAGGGTTGTTATGAGTTGTCAACTTGATGGCACCCAGCAACAACAACCAAAAGAACAACCAAGTCTATCTTAAAAGAGTGCAGGCCATGATATTCGTTAGAAGCAAGGACGGTGAGACTGTGTACCTTGGGCATGTTATCAGGAGAGTCTGGTCTTTGGAAAAGAACATCGTGTGGAAAAGTAGAGTGTCATTGAAGCAGAGGAAGATATTCCACAAAATAAATTCACATAGTAATTGCAACAATGCAGTTGCAGTAAGTACAAGGGTGTTTCTAAGGGTGACCCAAGATCAGAGTTTCAATATGTTGTATGTAGGGACTCATAGAGTCACTTTGAGTCACAGTGGACTTGATGATACCTAAAAACAACAACAATAGAACAGTTGTTTAGCGCCATTCCCTACTCAGCTTCAGAAATACTTGAAAATCCCCTGATCTATGTTGAGATAGTTGGCTGACATTTCATAAAGACAAAAATGAGACAATGAAAAAGCATCATTGTAAACTCTTCCACTTAAAAAAGAACCATTCAGCAAATATTTCCTGAGTCTTGTATTGTGCACTTTTGTGTTTTCTGTTTTGATCCTTGCAGCAATTTTGTAAGGAAAGCATTATTATCCCCAGTGGAGGCAGGCTTTGGAGTCAGACAGCTCCATTCACTGTGTGTCTCCTTGATCATGTTACCCAGTCTTTCTTAGGCCAAGATTTCCTTTCTGTCATGGCAAAGATGCTGATGCATTACCTTACAGAATTATAGTGAGGATTGCAGGAGATAATGAAGGCTTGAAAAAAACCCGAGCTGGTCTTAACTAAGCAATCATAATGGAGATTCAGAGAAGTTGATAACTTGCTTGAGATTGAAAGTCCAAGCATGCTGAGGTGTGCTGTTGTATGGAAATAAGAAAAATTTCTTTCTACTTTTCTTGTTCCCTTCTGCTACTTGGGTCATAGTAGGCAGCCCCACATTTGCTGAGGGGAGGAAGTAAATAAGGCCTGAGGGAGTCTGGCCTGTTACCCAGCTTTAGTGCGCTTCTGTGTGGATATGCTAGTTTCTTTCCCTCACCGGACATTCTCTGAAATGTGCTTCTCTCCTTACAGACACCAACGTGATTCGGTATATCCAGTTGACAGAAATGAAGCTCAGCAGATGCTCTCAGAGAGACAAAGAAGCCATGTAACCAACGAGCAGCCTCTCCAGAGCTGTACCCACGTCTGACCTGGGATTTCCAAGCATCCCTGGTGGAGACCCCTCCCCTGGGTCTGTTCCTTTCCTCCCTCCTACCTCTTTCACTTCCTCTACCTTCCTCTAGCTGCCCCTCTGTTTCTTCTCTACTCTCAGTGTGCAGGAAGGAAGCAAATACGGAAACTAGTGGGTTGCCCAGGTAATGGAGACATCCTCTTCTTTAGCAGATCAGTGAGAGAGAGGATCCTACCTTCTGCTCACACACCGGGGGAGGAGCTTAACAGGTTATGAGTGATGTTGCAGCTTTGCCTCTGGCCTTTGCTTCTATAGAGGCAAAGCCTGGCAAATAAACCATCCCAAAGGCAGCAGGCCCTGAGTCTGAGAGCTGGATCTTTGTATACTTTCACGACACACCAGAGCATCTCAAGCCAACTGGGACAAAATCAGGGATGAGACAAACGCCAGAAGTGTTGACTAAGCCAATGTAAGACTGAGTTTGTACACTGGAGTCCCTCCCCATAACCTCAGTCTCTGCCTCCCTCCAGTACATGTACTTATTGTCTTGGCTTGTAAGCTTTCCTCTCTCTCTCCCTCGGGAATCCAAGACCCTGCCAGGATTCACATGCCACTAAAGCCCACTCTCAGTGCCCTTTGGTGACCACACATACCATGTCCCTGTACTCCCACACAGGCAGGCAGCTACATAGCAGAAGGGCAGAGTGAAGTGGGCAAGGGCTGGAGTCGGGAAGACTCTGCAGTTTCCTGGGAGGGATAGATAACACCGAGTGGAAAGAGCACTTTGTGGACTGGAGGACTGAATTGTGGAGTAACAAGTGTAAATAAAAATCAATTAACAGGCAGTAGTTCCTGTCATTTCTGTTGGAAGCAGCTCACTCCCTCACTTTCTTCTCCAGAGCTGGTAGTAGCCAGGCATTTGGAACTTCCCCCTACAGTGACCAGCCATTTGTCCAGTAGTATGTGACACTGGCTGTAGCCTTTGAGCTTTTAAAGTGGGCTGGGATTGTGGAAATTGTCCATTGGCTTGACTTGTTTGAGATTTGTTGTTGTGTGTCGTGTTGCCGTGGAGTCAACTCGGACTCATGGTGGCCCAGAACTGCTCCTTGAGCATATTAAGGCCGTGATCTTTCAGAAGCAGAAAGTCTGGGTGGGTTCTCACTACTAACCCTTTTGATCGGTAACTGACTTCTTAGCCATTTGAGCCACCCAGCGGCACCTGAATATGGTGACTGAGTATATGGGACTTGTAGAGCATCTTTCTGATTGAACTCTCTGAACTCAATATAGAGCTCATAGAATGTGGTCAACAAATACTTGCTAAATGAATACATCGTGATTTCAAAGTGGTTCTCCTGCCTTAAACGAATTTTATTCCAGCCTAGTCCCCTGACATCTCTGCTCCTTACTCTATGCCATACTGCTTCAGTCAAACAGGAAGCATTTACTGAGGGCTTATTATTTGTCCCTCAAAGTGCAATATGATGTGGGACAGAGGATGCAGTCCCAGTCTCCAAGAAGACAGAGGAATTGAATATATGTGTGAGATTATTACCAATGACACCTTTTATTTATGTGATGCTTTAAATTTTTCAAAGCACTTTCATGTAAGTAGTGGAAGAGACAATATTGTATAATTAAAATATATACAGATGCAATAATGTTAATAGTTAGAATTTATTAAATGCACTGTCCTCAGATCTTTACCTGTATAATCTCATTTCTTATACACAATTACCACATAAGATGTTATTCCCACTTTATGAATAAGAAAACAGAGACCCCTAAAAATTAATTGTCCCAAGCTTGCATAGCCCTAAGGGTCAGAGCTAAACCAGGTCTGTCTGACTCCCGCGCTCTAGCTCTTACCTACCCTACAAATTGCCTCTACTTAAAGCATTGATGCTGGGAAGCTCAAAGATTCTAATGCAGGACGGTGTGGAATAAGATGAAAAAAACATAACCATATTAATGTTGGCAAGTGGACCTTCTCTTATGCCTAAAACAGAAAAATATTCTTAGGTAGGACTCTGGTGTTCAGAGACCTGTTCAATGACAGGTCAAGAAAGGACAACTGAAGCCCAACAGGTATTTTTGTACATTTGATCTGCTTGCTAATAGGCCAGAACTATCCACATAACCCACCTAGCATTCCTCACCCCAGCATCAGAGAAGAGTCACGATTATAGAGGCCAAAGGGACAGAGGAAGTTAATTATGGGTTACTTGTTTAAACAGAGGTTCCACTTGACAGGCTCCAGTCATTGCCCAAGGGCTCAGAAAGCAGCACACACACAGTTGTATTCTTACAGATACCCCAAAGGCTTTTAATGCAAGCTGCCAGATGGTGCTAGAAATACTCAGGGGTCCATTGTTGCTTGTCTCCAGCTTACCATCTGGAGAAGAGAAAAAGGAAAAAGTTGTTCCAGCTACTGTATTCTTTCCCCACCCCTTACCCATAACATACTACTTTGACCTTTTCTCTGCCCTCTTTCTCCAAAACATCTTCAGTTAGCCTCAACTCAGAAATTATCACATCCTACACCTCCATCGCCAAAACTATGAGTTAACTTCTTATTAGGATCCAAAGGATGAGAATAATAAGGTGGTAAACAGGATCTATTCCAATAGGCCGGCTTTCCTTTGATCTTCATGCCATCAGGAAGGACTTGGAGTAACAATTCCCAGCAAGGAGGCAGGAGAGAGATCTTGCCTGAACAAGTGAATCACGGCAGGGCTGGATCCATGCAGATAAGATTATTGCAGTTCCAAGGAAAAAGGTTGAAAACCAATATAAAGGGAGGGCAACTTCATAAAACCTCACAGAACAAGCACACTGTCTGTGTCTGATGACTTCCATAGGTTTATGGAATTCCATTCACTCTGGCCTGATGTTAAATGACCCTAAAAAAGAAAAGCTGCCTGGGATATTGATTGAGAATGTTTGGGAGTGGCTGCATTTTCTGTACATTTGTCCGGCAGAATCCTCAGAGTGCTGTTAAGCAGAGTCAGATCCCTTCAGCTCACCAGGCCTTCAGCTTCCTTCTCTTCTTTTCCCAAAATAGAGACTGTCAATAAATTATCCACTTTGCAGATGTCACTGATGAACTATATATACATGGAATACTAATCCTGGATGTGACCTGCTTTGTCATCTTCTTGGACTTTTGTGATAGCTTCTTTGGGCTACATATATTTTTCTTTTCATTGTGAAAATAGCACATGTTTATTGAAGACATTTTAGAGGAGAAAAACAATTTAGGACAAAATTTTTCCAGTAATTGTTACCACCCAAGATAAACATTGTTTTAATTTTTAATGTATTTGTTGGTTGTTTTGGATATAATTGTACACGTACACATACATGCACATAGTTTTGTCTTGTGCTTTTTTGGAAACAAAGTTGGATCACACTGTACATACTCCCTTCATAACTTGCTTTTCAAAATGTGTTTCTGTGTTAGCATATGGAATACATACACAGGGTCTATGAATCTGAATTGACTCGTTGGCAGTGGGTTTGATGGGTTTAAATTACAAAAGACTGAATGACAAAAAGTACGTCACCCTCCTATCCTATCTGCCAGCCACCCAGTTGCTCTCCAATTACTTGTATATCCTTCCAGAGATGTTTATGTGATTTCCAACATTTATGTATATTCCTCTTATCACATACAAGTTGGACACATACTTTTCCCAACTTTTATCCCTTCACTTAACCTATCATGAATGTTTTTTGCATGTTTTGCAAGCTTTTTCAACAGCACCCTATTATGAATTTATCCTCATTTTGTAATCAGCTCCCGAGCAGTGAAAGTTAATTTGTTCCCATTTTTTAAAAAAATTGTAAATAGTGTTGCAACATCCTTTAGCTAAATACTTAATGCACATCTATTTCCTGAAGTAATCACTAAATACTTATACACATCTATTTCCTTGGGATAAAAATCCAAAAAAAAAGAAAAGTTGCTTGACTATTTTTAAGAACTTTGATACGTTGTAAATTGCCCTCTAGAAAACACCCATCTTATTTGTAGTTTTGAGAGTGTCCTGTTCTTTGCAGTCTCACTAACATTGATTATTGCCATTTGTCTGATCGTGTCAATTTGACAGGCAAAATAATCCTAGTCTGGTGTTGAAACTACTTTAATAATTAGAAAATAACATTTTCATATGCTTATTGACCATTTGTACTTCTTTCTTTGTGAATTTTCTGTTTATTTGATATTGTTCTGTTTATTGTTAATATGGAACTTTATTATTAATATTATTTTTGTCAAAAAAACCTACAAATATGCTTTCCAAGTGCTTTGCTTTCAGATTTTGCTTATGGTGCTTTTTGACATACATAAATTCTTAATTCTGCAATTAATTTGTCCCTTTGTTGCCATTTTCTCCCACCTACAGTTCATCTCCCCATTTCCATCAGAATGTTCTTTCTAAAGCACATTCTGATCACGCCACTTCACTGCTTAAAAACTCTATGGTTTCTAATCACTTTTAGCATGAAAACCAAATTCCTTGGCTTAGTCCTTGATGAGGCATCTCCCAAGAACTTTTCTAGGCTTACCTCCTGGCCTTTTCCCCTACGGACCCAGAATTCTACAGCTGCACAATTTTTTGTGATTTCCTGAGACTGTCAATCACAGTCTCAATGCCTTCCCTCTGTCCAGTTGGCCATTCCCTACTTCTTCAGCCCTTCCTTGGTCTTGCTAGATGCATTCAGCAGCTGCAAAGCCTGCTTGGTCCCTTAATCTGCATTCCTAAAGCAACATGAGCCTACCAGCCTCCCAGTGTTTTCCATGAAATGTTGGAATTTCTTAATTTACATTTCACAAGTGGCACAAATTGTTAAACCTCCGACTTGCCCAGAGGTACCTGGTCTTCCAGAATGGCACAGCCATTAAAAATCCCCCAGAGCCTAGTTTAACTCTGACACACATGGGGTGCCCATGAATCAGAAATAAGTCAATGAATCAGA